GCCGACCAACAAGTACTCATTCACCAGGTTGTACTTTGCCTGCTCCAGAGCCCACTGACTGCCCACGTTCCTACACACAAAAAAAGAAAAAAAAAAAGACATGTTTTTCTTTTCGATGTGAATATTTTCTCTTTATTCTTAGGGAGTCACTGCTCTGCTGGATGGGAAAAAAAATCCCACACAGCTTGGAAAAACTGAGCAGAAATGGAGGGGAAGAATGATGTAAGGCCTGACACGGAGGAAGAGGAGGTGACGGGGAGAAGAGCAGCAGAGAGGAGCTGAAAGACAGACAGGATGAACGATTAGGTGAGCCGTGAGTCCGGAGAGGGTTGAGACAACAGGAGAGCAGAGCAAAAAGAAAAAAAAAAGGAAAAAGCTTGGTAGTGAAAATAAAATAAGAATTGTTTAAACCTATAAAGTAAATTGTTGGCAAGGCCTTCTTAAACACATCAATCTATGACTGGCTGCACTGACCTCACCTTTTTGTCTTCACTATTTATTTAATGTTTCCAAGGGCCTTTCCATTACTTTAATATACTGCTCTCTAAATCCCAGACACTCAGACCTTCAGTCAGCAAGAGGGTAGATGGTTAAAAGATGGAAAGCAGAGTTGGCAAAGGATTAGGCAGGATGAGAGGGATGAGTAGGGTCAGCGAGAGACTGATAAAAAAGGAAGAAAACACAATGTAGAGAGAACGGCTCAAGGCAGTGAGAGCTACTGGAGACCTTGAGAAGAGAGTGTAGCAAAGCAGAGAATGACTGAATGTGGTGCTCTATTGAACAAAACCGATACATCACGTCTTTTTTAACAATTTCATCTGCATGCACTGAGGAAAAGACAAGGTCAGTGACTTTGCTTGTTTGTGTTATTGACAACAAACCCAGAGAAAAATATCTCACCGCTGCATTGATTCCTACCCTAACAGTGGTGTTAAATCTGAACCCAACCGAGCATATTTAACATTTGATACTGTGCAAATGTCTCGAGCCAGTCCTGATTTATTCCTATTTTGCTCCCAAGGAGCCAGACTTATAATGCAGTTTTTTCTTTTTAAAGTGCTCTTGAGCAATGGTTCTCCGGGCTTTCAGAAGTTTTTCTTCAGACATCGGCTGCTTTTTCGCTCATTTTCAGTCAAGTTCTTGTACCTGACTGTTTTAGGGAAAACCGGTTTTCTTTCGGAGGCCAAGGAGCAGACCCAGGACACGCTGGAGGGATTATGTCTGTCAGCTGCCCTGGGAACGCCTTGGTGTTCCACCGGACAAGCTAGAGGAGGTGGCCACAGAGAGGGAGGTCTGGGCTTTTCTGCTAAGACTGCTGCCCCACAACCCGACCCCAGATAAGCGAAACAAGATGGATACATGGTCTAATAGTCTGTCTTTAACCACTCTTTTATGAAAACACTAAATCTGCCCTATCAACCAATTTCTGCAGTTGAATCTGTAGAAAATGCTGAAGATAACACAGTTAAACTGGCATAAAACAGTACTTTTGCACCAACAAGGTGATTCCCAAAAGAACTATTAGCTAAAAACTTAGCATGGTGTGCAGCGTGTCCTTAACCCCCCCAAAACTGGACATTGGAGGATAAAAGAAATGGCAAGTTTAAAAAAAACAACCTCCCTGTGACTGATGAACAGTATCTGAAAAGTCATGTGTTTAAGAAACAGTTAAACAGCCAGCACAGGCCTGACACAGGACCTGCAACATTAGTTGATCCATCCACTGATTACCAACAGCAATGATGCTACATGAAAGCCTGACATGACTTTGGGATACTTTACTCTCTGCTGTAGTTTTTTCAGGTCTGCTACTTCTTCTTTTGTTCTCATCTTGTCTGCTTTGCTCATTAAAAAAAAAAATGTAAACACACAATGCACACCTCGAAGAAAACAAAACAGTAGTGTATTGATTTATAGCTACACTATTTTATTAGGTACATAAGCTGTTTCATTAAGCCTGTTCATTCCTGTTTTTGGTTGCAATATAACCAGATCTCTTCTGTCAACATGCAAATGTCTAAAAAAAGGACACACGTTTGATAATCTCAGACTCAGTGTGGTCTGAATGCGACACAGCAGGAGCAGCAGGTGTTTGAATTCTCACCAGCATTCGGAGTAGTGACCACAGAAAAAGGGAATCTGGAGCCAGAGCTTCTCGGGAGCGCAGTCCGAGCCACCAGCTGATACACATTCATCGAACGTCTGAAACACAGAACATGAAAAACACCAAGAAAGTAGACGAAAAGATAAGTGTTCCTTCACATTAGACCTTCACATCCCTTAATGCACTTAGAAACAAAAGAAAGACGACAACATTCCGAAGTAGCTTTATGCACAAATATAATCCTGAAACTACACCGAGCCTTAAAAAGTTACTTGAAGTGGTTATTTTCCACAGTTTAGTCAGAACTTCAATTCTCCAGTAATTTTTTCTTCTAGTTCAAAAGAAAAAAACAAAACACACATTTGGGAGAAATGAAACAGAGGGAATTTTGTTTTAACTGGAATTACCACCTCACAGCGGTATGCTAGTTAAGTAGCTGGCAACAACCCAGTCTGGTCACATTTTATGTCACCACTTCATCTGATTTTCCCGTTAGAGGCATTCGTGTGAAATTTAGCGATAATTAAACTGCGAATTCTCAACTTTGGTGAGGTGACACTGATCTTGACTACTAACTTTTAATAAGCTCATCCTTGAGTCCAAATGAACATTTGTGCCAAATGTAATTAGATTTTTTTTGCTAGCATTCCTGATGTTTTTCCATTTACAACCACAGGATTCAACCACGGACACCCCAAAAACACTCAATGCCTTGATGACTGTCGGCAGCACAGAGGCCTCAAAATGCTGAGCTCTGGAAGATAAACGCTCGGTTCGATCACTCAAGCCAAATATTAAGTGAGATTTCATCCACAGATTTGTTGTTATGTTATGTAAATGAAAATGAATCCATTCTTTAAATAAAAGAATAAAGCTGTTTTACCTTCTTGTCTCCTTGCTTTCTGCGTCTCAAGCCGGGCCTGTAGTCGTCCCCGAAACGTAAAAAGTAATAATAGGACACCAGCCTTTCAATTGGGTCCCTAATCACATTTATGTAGATGGGCTTCTTCTTCACCCCGAACCTGAGGAGAATTACTCATTTCAGAAAACTCACCAGGA